CTCTTTCTGCCTCTGAAACAAAGCATTTTTTTTTAAGATTCCTAATTGATTGGCTTTAGAAGGTGCACTAGACTTCATTTATGTTAGAGTAGTTCTTACAGAAATGCTTAATATTATACCTGCACTTAATTTTTACAATCCACGTGGCAAAACAATACAGTGATGCAGCCTTTTAAATCTTTTTTGTTTGTTTTTTTAAGAAATCTGACTCTGCATGACAATATCGCAAGATGTGGCTGAGCCAAGTTATGGTTCATAAAATCATAAGATAGGAGATTGGTCTTCTGTGGAAATTCTAGAAAACCCTGTCTCAGGAACTAATCATCACAAGAGTTACAGCTTTTTAGGATTTGATATAAAAATTCAAATCAGTTTCTTTCCTATGACATTGATTCTAACTCTTTAAGTAAAGAACCCACAGTTCCCTTTAGTGCTGTTTATGCATGAGATTAGGAAGGAAATTGATATTAGGTGAACACACATCCAAAAAGCAAATGAACCCTGTTATACTTCCTTCTGTTTTTTTTTTTTAAAGATTTATTTATTTATTTTTTTTTATTATTTTTTATTGGAAAGGCGGATATACAGAGAGGAGAGACAGAGAGGAAGATCTTCCATCCGATGATTCACTCCCCAAGTGAGCCGCAACGGGTCGATACTATGCCAATCCGAAGCCAGGAGCCTCCTCCGGGTCTCCCACACGGGTGCAGGGTCCCAAAGCTTTGGGCCGTCCTCAACTGCTTTCCCAGGCCACAGGCAGGGAGCTGGAAGGGAAGCGGGGCTGCCGGGATTAGAACCGGCGCCCATATGGGATCCCGGGCGTGCAAGGCGAGGACTTAACCACTTGCGCCACCGCGCCGGGCCCATACTTCCTTCTGTTTTATAGGAAGCATTTTACTGCAGTTGAAAAAATTGATTTGTTTTGACTTTTAGATCAGCAAGTAAGAACTATACTAGCTTACAGATTGCAAAAGAATCAGAGTTACAAAGCACCATTTTTACTCTCTAAATAATAAGCTAAAGTAAGAAATGACATGAAGATTCTCTGGTATTATTTTAAACATAATAATATGTAATTTCTATCTTCATATAACTCAGAGATAGCATCTGATAAGTAAGCATTTATGAAAAGCAATTTGAAATTGATCTTCTCAAAAATGAATGAATGCCATGTCTGTATGCCCCTCAGATCATATGCCTTATAAAGTAGCTATGGATTAAATAATAATAAATATAGCTTTGTAATCCTTATTTTTTACAATAGAATAGTTGTAATGTAGGAGAAATTATACCTGAATCAGCACAAGTTCTATTAAAATATTAGGCTTTATATATGTAATAATTATATAATTATTTCATATATAAATCATATATTTTATATATTCTATAATTTGCATCCAGATAATTTATCCTGTAATGTTACCACAGTAAAGTTAATATGCAAAAACATGAACCTGATAGCTTATGAAAAGATAGATTCTCTTTCTTGCACTCCTAATTATTGCTAAAAGAGCTCCGGGATAGTTCCCAGAAGTTAGTATATCAAATGACCATGTCCGTTTACTTGGTGCAAGTGGCCGAATTGCAAGGACATAAGAACATGGTTAACTAAGGAAGTCAGAATAGTCTGGAGAAAAGGTACCGAAGAATTTGAGTCTGAGAATGTATCTTGTTCCATTGCCTAAAGGAATATATATATATATTTTAAATTAAGAATGAAATTCTTTTCTTTATCTAAAAGCAGTTGTAGAACTATGCATAGATGATTCTTGAAAATTATACCTATATTTGTGACGCTGTAATTCTGTACATAGAATTGTGTCTGCTGCACTCCTCTTGGATGGGACAGTATTAGGCTAAATCATGAAAGAACTTTTGTTAGTTGGTTGTTTCCAAGAGAACATTAAAAAGACAAGTACCATATATTGTGGTAACAAATACACAGAATCTAAACTAAAAATGCATGGAGAACAGTTGCATTTTGAGGCTTGATTATTGTTTATACTCCTTGTCTGTACTGCTGAGGAACTGTTGTTTTTCCAATTATTGCTTCTTGAATTCTTTATTTAGTAAAGGGTTACACTTATGATAATAACGAACATTGAATGTATGCCATTGTAAAACTTAAAAGAGATATGAAAGATTCAGAAGGGAGCTTGCCAGGGAGAGATCTAGGGGAGGGGAGGGTTCAAAGTATCACTACCTTCTTTAAACTGTGTACATGAAATAGGTTACATTTGTTCCCTTAATATTTATTAGAAAGTAAAAAGTGAACTGTTATGATACAGTAGTGTTTGAATAAATTTCTTATGTAAAAGATAATTTGAACGTAATTGGAATGTAGTTTCCTTTCTCATACGCAGATTTTATTTCATTTGGAAATATATCCCTATAAGTGGGATATGTGGGACATAGGGCAGATGAGTTTCCGGTTGTAATTAGCAGTCTCCATACTGACTTCCATAGTGGTTGTACTAGCCTGCACTCCCAGCGACAGTGAAGGAGGCTACCCTTTTCCCCACATCCACACCAGCAGGTGTTGTTAATGGAGTTCTGAATGTAGGCCAGTCTCCCTGGAGTTAGAGGGAACCTCAATGTAATTCTCACTTGTGTTTCCCTGACAATTATGGAGCCTGAGCATTTTTTCATAGGTCCAGCAGCCGCTTGAATTTGTCCTTATGAAAAATGTGTGTTCATTTCCTTTCCCGATTTTTCACATTTTTCTAAATTTCATTTTATGACACTGTTTCATAGGCTCTGGGATTCCCCCCAACCCCTCCAAAAAAAGCCCCCAAACCCCATTTTGGATTCCTCCACGCTGTCACAGTGGTACAGTCCATACACAGTCATGACTCCTTCACTGGGGGCATGGACCATGTATGTTTTGCTGACTCTGAGTTCCTGAAACTCTGTAATTCCTGGATATTGGTCTCCTATCAGGTAGTACACAACAATTTTTTTTCCCCTATTTTCTTGGATTCTTCTTCACTTTGCTGATTGTTTCCTTTGCTCTACAGAAGCCTGTTAATCGGATGTAGTCCCATTTGTTTATTTTGGCTTTGACTGCCTGTGGTTTGGTTAACTTTTCGAGAAGTATTCCCTTATTCCTATATCTTGGAGAGTGTTTCCAAGATACAGATATCCTATGGTTTCCTCTAACAGTTTGATGGTTTCTGGGTGCAGATTTAGGTTCTTGATCCATTTAGAGCTGCTTTTTGTATAAGCTGGAAGGCGAAGATCTTGCTTCTTACTTCTGCATGCCGCTATCCAATTGTGCCAACAGCATTTGTTGAAAAGACCAGACATTTCCCATGGATTATTTTCAGTTTTCTTGTCAAAGATTAATTGGCTGTATATGTATTGGTTCCTGTCTTGCCTAATAACTCTAGCAAGGACTTCTAATATTATATGGAATAGCAGTGGTGAAAGTGGACATCCTTGCCTCTTTCCAGATCTTAGTGGAAAAGCTTCCAGGCTTTCCCTATTTAGTGTGGTGCTGGCACTGGACTTATCATGTATTGTTTTAATTGTGTTATAGAATGTTCCTTCTATGCCTATCTTGCTGAAGTTTTTGGCATGAAATTTTGCTGGATCTTGTCAAATGCCTTCTCTGCATTTATTGGGATGATTGTATGGTTTGTATTTTTAGTTTGTTGATGTGGTGTGTCATATTCATTGATTTGTGAATATTAAACCATCCCTGCATGCCAGGGACAAATCGCACCTGCTTCAGGTGAATGATCTGCCTGATGTACTGTTGGGTCCTATTGGCTAGTAGCTTGTTGAGGATTTTATGTGTTTATTGTTCACCAGGGATTTGAGTTGTAGTTCTCTTTTTCTGTTGGATCGAATTAGCTTTGGTATTAAGGTGATGTTGGCTTCATGCATAGAGTTTGGAAGGATTGCCTCCTTTTCTGTTGTTTTGGAAAAGCTTGTGGAGAATCGGAGTGTGCTCTTCAAATGTTTGGTAGAATTCTAGAGTGAAGCCATCTGGTGCAGAGAGTTTCTTGGTTGGGAGGTATTTAATTACTGATTCAATTTTCATCCAAGTTATAGATCTACTTATTTTGATAATTGCCTCATGATTCAGTTTTGATAGATTGTATGTGTCCAAAAATCTCCATTTCTTCTAGATCTTCTGATTTGTTGATGTATAATAGTTTTGGCTAATTCTATGTATGTCCAAGGTGCCCATTGTTATAATTCCTTTTTCATCTGTGATTCTTTTGATTCATATTTTCCCTCCTATTTTTGATTAGTTGGGGTACTGGGGAATCTATGTTGTTTATTTTCTCCAAGAATCAGTACTTTGATTCATTGATCCTATGTATTATTCTTTTTGTCTCTGCTTGGTTAATTTTCTCCCTTATTTTGATTATCTCCTTTTTCCTGCTAATCTTGGGAATGCTCTGCTGCTTTTTCCAGCACCTGCCAATGTATGGTTATCCCATTTAGTTGGTGCTTCTCTAATTTCTTGACATGGACATTGGTTGAAATGAACTTGTCTCTTAACATTGCACTTGTGTCACTCTCTGGCATCCCCGTACCCTGTACACACAGGTTTTGCCTGAGTACACACAGTTGTGCCCCATGTGGCACTGACGGGGGTCTGGGTCTTTGACTGTTTTAGCCTCTCCTCATTCTGTTCCACCATCATTGCTCTGATGGGCAACGTTAAAGCCTGACTTCTCTGCTTCCATCCAGCTCCCAGCTCAGGTACCTGGAAAGGCAATGAAGGATAGCCCAATTGCTTGGGCCCATGGCTTTATCTTGACCAGTCTTGGCCATTACAACCTTTTGGGAGTGAGCCATCAAATTGAGGATCCTTTTGTGTCTCCCCAACCCCTTCCTTCTCTACTAACTTTGTGCATCAAATAGAAACAGATCTTTTTTTTTTCCAAGTCATTGTTTCATTGATTAGAGAATATTTACTTGGGTAAATGCACTGAAATAGATGCAATATAATGTGCTTAAACTCTCTGTTACTGTTTCATTTGCAGATTCAAGAGTGGCTTTGTTTAAACTGCCAGACCCAGAGAGCCATATCAGACCAGCTTGGAGACATGGGAAAGATACCACCATCACCAACAGGACCCAAAGCCCCTCCCCGTATGCCTCTCTCCACAGAGCCACCCTCACAGAAAACAGAAGTCTCTCCCCGAGAAATTGTGAAGAAGAAGGAGAAAGAGGAAAAAACAGAAGTTGAAAAAGTAAAAGAAGCATCTTCAAGTGAGAAAGTTTCCGCTCAGGTAATCAGAGAGCAGAAGCAAGAAGGAAGTACCCAAGAGAAAGACAAAATCCTGGGTCTCCAAGAGGAAAAATTACCCTTGAAAGAAAAAGAGCTGCTCCGGGAAGACCAGAAGCCACCCCCTACAGAAGCAACGCCACCTGCTGAAGACCAAAAGCCATCCACTGAAGATAAAAAATTACCTCTCCAAGGAAAAACAGCAGTCCCGGAAGAGGAACAGAAGCACGAAGTACTGACAACCCTGGTCCACACTACTGAAGAAAGACAGGAAAAAAGAAAGGCACCCAGGCCTGGACTAGAGGAGAAGGAACTGCAACCCCAAAAGGAAGAGTTGCCCAGTGGTGCACCTCAGAGGTCGCTTAAGGAAGATGATCAGATGGCCAAAAAACCCTCAGAACAGCCACCGCTGGTGCGCATGGGCAAACCTGATCACGTGGAACCCGGGAAAGAGAAACCGGTAAGTCCCCTTCTGCTTTGTAGCTCTGTCCATTGTCTTGAGCGGAAAGCACAACTTTTTATTTTTAACCCAAAGATATGAATTGATCATTGGTAGTTATACAAATGAGATATTTCAACACCCGTGAATGGGGGCATTATCCACAAGTGTAACGGCTGCTAAAATGAGGAATTTAGCCTTTTAACAACTTGGTCAGATTTTCAAAATATGGACATAGACAATTTATTTTCTGACTCATGCCTGTCAAGCAATTGATTAAAAAAAATCATATGGATGCAAAGAAAAACATTCCCACACTTTTTAGTTATTCTTTTTTTTTTTATTAAGGAATAGACATAAGTATCCTCTATAATAAAACAATGTATTTTTGAATAGGTTTCTTTGCCTAGGTGTTTAGTTTCACCAAAAATGGCACAGCTCTTCTCATTTGAAAGCCCAGTTTGTGATCATTTGCATGATTGCAGACAGAAACAGAAATTATTTGTGGCTATCAATCTAGAGGAACATCAAATTGAGATGTTACAAAGTAGTTTATTTTCATTTGAAGTGTGGTTTTATTTTTTTATTATTTTTTAAAGATTTATTTATTTATTGGAAAGTCAGATATACAGAGAGGAGGAGAGACAGAGTGGAAGATCTTCCATATGATGATTCCCTCCCCAAGTGAGCGCAATGGCCGATGCTATGCTGATCCGAAGCCAGGATCCAGGAACTTCTTCCAGGTCTCCCACACGGGTGCAGGGTCCCAAAGCTTTGGGACTTTAGCTGCTAGGCCACACCACTGGGCCCTTAAGTGTGGTTTTAATGGGAGATTTTACACTAAGGATTTTGTTCAGGGTGTTTGATTCTGAAGGGTTACTTATAATCTAAGCATAATCTGAAGAAATGCATATTCTTTAAGAAATTGCATCATTTTTAGGGGAGCTCTGATTTTTTTGAGTTACAGGAGAGTGTTCATTATATATAATTGAAACTTTAATTTAGAGGAGAGAGCAATTGATTAACAGGAAAATTAAAATAAGTATAATAGGGGTTCAGCACAGTGGCCTAGTGACTAAATCCTAGCCTTGCACATGCCAGGATCCCATGAGGGCACTGGTTAATGTCCTAGCTGCTCCACTTCCCTTCCAGGTCCCTGTCTGTGGCCTACTCAGGCAGGAGAGGGTGGTCAACCATCCTGGGACCCTACTCCTGAGTGGGAGACCTAGATGAAGCTCCTGGCTCCTGGTTTCTGATCTACACAGTTCTGGCCATTGTGGTCACTTGGGGAGTAAAGCAGTAGATGGAAGGCTTTCTTTCTATAAATCTGACTGGCCAATAAAAAATAAATATTTTTTTTTAAATCAATAATCTCAGTCATTTGTCATAAATGAATTTCATCAGTCGAAAAAGAAGATTGCAATCTATTTTATATATAACGACTGGGTCTAGACGCCACCAACCGTAACAACCACCCATTGTTTCATTGTTCTTGCTAAACATGATGTCTTTTTTTGGTTGCCTTACATGGCTTTTTCCCCTTGCGGGAAACCCATCCGTCTCAGGAATCTTCCATTTTAATTCTCGTTTCGTCTTCTGAATCAAACGTCTCTTGGTGGACTCATTGACCGCCTGCATTATTTCTGTTTGCCAAATGCTTCGTTTTGAGATCTACTTTTTTCTTTTTTTTCTGCAAGAGAATTCACACGGGAAACTGCTAAATCCACTATTGATATTCTGTGTTTCTTTTTCATGTGGACGGGTCTGGTCTAACATCCTATTCCAGGCTTGCATTTTATCTAGAGTAGCATTATGAAATAAAGGCACAAAGAGGACACACATAGTGATAATGTTTAGTAAAAAGATGAGGAAACACACACACACACACAAACACACACACACACACACACACACACACACACACACACACACATTTTCGAGCAAAGGGACCCTGGAAGGGAAAAGCATAGCGGGGAGAGGCACAGCATCTTGCCCTTGTCTAGCTGTAGGTGTATGGTGGAAATGGGGGTTGTGAGGGTGTGCGGTAGGGATTAAGGATGAAGGGTCCCCTTCCCGTTGCCTGCCTGTTCTTAGGTTGGAAAACGGAGTTGGTATTTGTTACCACCCCCAGGTTCCTGGTGAGGACAGGTACGTCCTGGGAAAGGAGACATCTGACTGCCAGATAGGCACGTAGCATTGCCCAAATGTGATTTCCGGCACCCTGTCTCATTCCATCTCATTTTGACATTCTCAATCGGTATTTCTACTTCAGAACTCACTGTAAGTTCAGATCTCATTGAGCTCTCTGGGGAAGCACTTTTCTGCTTTCTGATTTTCTGTTTCTGTTAGTGCCACCATCCTTCACGTCTCTCTCCTTTCCCAGGGGCTCATCTTTAGAGGGATCTATGTTCTCAGAAGCAAAATTCCACACTCTGGTCCGTTAGCTCCTGCTCCCGAGGCCACTACCCTATTTACAGCTTTGGGGAACTTGGGCCAATGATATAAGCAATGTAATCACTTCTGTCCCTCTCATCTCTGGTATACAGATGTCAGATGCTTTAGATGGCCTAATTGGCCAAGGGCTCGGATTTTTCTCCATCTCTTAGAATTCCTATTGAGTCTCTGCTGTGTTTTAAATATAAACTAGATATCATCAGATGCATTTGTACCTGTTTATTTCACACCTTTTTCTTCCTTTCTTGGCTCACTACTCGTTTAGTCTGCATATGTACAGAGTTATGTATAAATTGCAGTGTTTTTACTAGTATGTTATGGAAACATAACATTGAAGAACATAGAATAAGCATTAGTGAAATTAAAATTAGATTTTACGTCTGTTAAATGTAGATCAATCTTTTTCACTAAGTGGTGCATGATTTTAGAGTGAGCACTGTTTGATTATGCTTTAGCATTTAGAAGAAATAATCTAAAGCTTATTGCACTTATTTTATATCCAGCTTGGTAGTAAAGCTTATTTTGATGTTTGATATTTATTCTTGATGACTTTCCATAGCAGAAAAAAGAGATCATTCCTAACTATTTATTAGAAATAGAAGATGTACAACCCCAATCATTTTTCAATTAGAGAAGTTATTCTTTACTATATAATATCTAGCTTTTATTAAATATATGATTTCATTAAATAGGTCAGGTTGTTTTGCTGTCATTGGGTTTCTGAAGCTCTTTGTAAACCAGTTGTGTGGTGTGCAAAGGTTTTACCTTCTCCATTCTCCTGGCTGCTTCACTTTGTTGATTCTTTCCTTTGCTGGATAGGCTTTTAGTGAGATGTAGTCCCATTTATTTCTTTCGGCTTTAACTGCCTGTGGGCTGGGTGACTTTTCCAAGTCTTTCCCCCATTCCTTCATCTTGGATAGTGCTTCCTATGTTTTTCTTTAATAGTTTTATGGCTTCTGGGTGCAGATGTAGGTCCTTGATCAATTTAGAGCTGATTTTTGTGTAATGTGACAGGTGTGGGTTTTGCTTCTTAGTTTTGCAGGCTGCTATCCAGTTGTCCCAGCAGCATTTGTTGAAAACACCAAAATGTTTCCCTGGGTTCTTTTCAGTTTTCTTAGCAAAGATTAGTTGGCTAAGCATGTACGGGCTCCCTTTTGGGGTTTCTGTTCTGTTCCATTTGTCTTTTTTGTTTCTATACCAGTACCAGACTGTTTTGATGACCCACTGCCCTGTAGTATGTCTTGAGATCTGGAATTGTGATTCTTCCATCTTGGTTTTTATTCTTTAGGGTAACTTTGGCTATTTATTCATGGTCTTTTATTTTCCAGATGTCCTTTTGTGTCATATTTTCTAACTCTGGCAAGAATGCTGTTGGAATTTTGATTAGGATCACATTGAATATAACTTTTTGTAATATGGACATTTTGATGATGTTGATTTAGGAACATGGTAGGCTTCTCTGTATTTTAATGTCTTCTTTTGCTTCTTTGATGTATTGTAATTTTTATGATCAAGGTCTTCCACATCTTTGGTTAATTTCTGTCTTTGTCTTCTCCCTGCTTTTTTGGATTAGTTGGGCTAGTGAGATATCTAGTTCATTGATTTTCTCAAAGAACCAGCTTTTTGATTCATTGATCTTATGTATTGTTCTTTTAGTTTCTACTTGGTTTATTTCCACCCTTATTTTGATTATTCTTTTTTTTTTTTCCACTAAACTTGGGGTGGCTTTGCTGTTGATTTTCTAACTGCTTCAAATGTATGGTAAGCTCCTTTACTTGGTGCTTTTCCGATTTCTTAACATAAGCATGATTGAGATGAATTTTTCTCTTAACAGTGCCTTGTTGTGTCCCATAAGTTGTGTTGTGTTGTGTTGATGCCTCCATTGGTTTCAAGCAATTTTTAAAATTTCCCATTTCATTTCCTCTGTAACCCATTTTTCCTTTAGTAGCATACTATTCAGTCTCCAGGTGTTTGAATGTGTTCAGAGGCATTTGAGGGTCTCCGGTTTCATTCCATCATGGTCTGAAAAGATGCATAGTATCAAATCAGATTTTTTTTTTTTTAATTTGCAGAGGCTTGCTTTGTGGCCTATACCATGGTTCAGTCCTAGAGAAAATTCCATGTACTGATGAAAAAAAAAAAATGTATTCTCTGTCTGTAGGCCGAAGGCTTCTGTAGGTATTAGTTCAGTCTTTTTGCTCTAGTGTCTGGGTGAGCTCTTTTGTTTCCTTCCTGAGCTTCTGACCTATATATCTGTCCTTTGATGTTAATGGGGTATTAAGCTCACCCAATATTATTGTATTAGAGCCTGCCTTTCCCTTTAAATCCACTATTTGTTTCATGTAGCTAGGTGCCCTGGCATTTGGTGTGCATACATTTATTATGGTGATCTCTTCCCACTAAATAGATCTTTTGATCATTATGTGGTGTTCTTCATCTCTTAATATTTTTCACATCAAAGACTATTATCTGGTATAACAATGACTGCGTGGACTCATTTTTCCTTTCCATTAGCCTGGAATATCTTTTTCCATCCTTTTACTTTTGTTTCTGCTGATCTTTATTGGAGACATATGTCTGGTGAAGGCAACGGAAGAATGGATTTTGTTTTTAGATCCAGTCTGCTAATCTCTGACATTTGATCGATGAGTTTATGCCCTTTACATTTAGGGTTAATATGGATAGGTAGCAATTTTGTCCTGTGAGTTTAGCAATGGGTTGTTTATTGTTTGATTTAGCCTTCTGTTGTTCTTTTACTGGAATGCTCTCCACATTTGCCTTTGGTTTTGATGGTTGCCATTCCTTTTCTCTGTCAACAGGACATATTTAAGCATCATTTGTAGAACAGGTGTGAAAGAAGCAAACTTCTTGAACTATTTTTTTACTGTGGAAAAATTTGATTTCATTTTCAAAGACAAAGAAAAACTGCTGGGAAGTTACTCTGGGCTGACAACTTTTCTCCTTTAAAATCTGGAATGTCACTTCATTCTCTTCTGGCCTGTAGAGTTTCCTGTGAGAGATTAGTAATGGGTCTGATTGGGATTGCTCTATATGCTAATTGATTTTTTTCACATGCATATTTAAGGATCTTTTTCCTGTGTTCAACTGAAGAGAGCTTAATTATATGTCATGGTGAAGATAACTTTGGTCAATCCAATTGGGGTTTTTTTGGTTTGTTTGTTTGTTTCCCAATTCTTTCTCCAAATAATGGAAGTATTCCTTTATTATTTGATTGAATATATTTTTAAATTCAGCTTCTCTTTCTGTGCCTTCTGGTATTCCCATAAATCTTATATTTAGCTTTTTAATAGAGCCTCTTAATTTCCAAATAGTTTTTTTGTTGTTGTTGTTATTATTTTGTTTTGTTGGTTCACTCAAATCCACTTCCAGCTTTTTAATTATTTCCCCATTACTAAAGAAAATGTCTTCCAATTCTGAGATTCTTTTGTCTGCCTCACTCACTCAGTCTGTTATTGAGGCTTTCCACTGAATTTTTAATTTCTCCATTGTGTTCTTAATTTCTTATATATCATATATCCATTTGATTCAGTGCTGCTATATTCCTTAAATTCCTTGTACTGCTGCATGTGCTTCTCATTGTTGAGAAACAGCTTTTAATTTTTATAAAATTTTTAAAAATGATTTATCCCCCATTTTCTCGATGTCTTCCTCGGTTATCTCTGAGGTTGACAAAGGCTTTTGCTCCATGGTGGGCCAAGCATCAGTAACACGCATTGTGCCTCTGTATCTTCTTTTGCTCTTGATCATTGGTATTCTGGTTAGCAGATTCTCCTACTTAGGGCTGGTTTCTACGCTGTGTTGTCCATCACTGTGCAGGTCAATTTTTTTCATTGTGTTAGTACCCAGTTCTTCATTTGCAATCAGCAAGTTGAAGTCCTAGGCTCTTGTTCCAGGCTTGTACCGTGGTATCCATAGTCCCAGCTCCTGGCTCACTACTCTCCAGCCCCTTTGATACCATGCTGTGGTCCCAGCCTTGCCTGCACAACCTATCTCCCATTCTGGGCTCCAACAATGGGAGTGACTCATCTAAACTGCTATGCTAAATGGCCACCCATAGCTGTTGTAAACTTGGGTGCCAGAATTTTGATGTAGTAGTATTAGCTGCCACCTGTGTGTTGGCATCCCATATGAGTGCTGCTTTTGTACCCAGACTGCTCCCACTTCCATTGCTGTTGCTTACCAATGCAGCTGAGAAAGCAGTAGAACATGGTCCAAGTAGGAACGCCCCTGGTACCCAAGTGGGAGACTTGCGGAAAGCTTCTGGCTTCCACTCTAGCTGTTACAACCATTTGGGGAGTGGACGCACAGGTCGATGTTTCTGTCAACCTGTGTGTGTGTGTCTCAGTAATTCTGCCTTTCAAATAAATACATCTGTTAAAGAAAAAAAGACGTAGAAACTGGATTGCCGTCTTCAAGTTCATATTGCTATAAAGCTATGATAACATCATATTATAATTCAGTTCTGATTATAAAGCTGTGTTTGTAACCATTACATACAGTATTTATTCTCTGATACTTCTAGTATATCTATTTGTCATTGTTTTGATTATTGATCCCTCTTAGGAGTCTTTAGTGCAATCCCAATCCCTTTGGATGATTCTTTTTTTTTTAAAGATTTATTTTATTTTTATTGGAAAGGCAGATATACACAGAGGAGGAGAGACAGAGAGGAAGATCTTCCCTCCGATGATTCACTCTCCAAGTGAGCGCAACGGCCCAATGCTATGCCGATCCGAAGCCAGGAGCTTCTTCCAGGTCTCCCACACGGGTGCAGGGTCCCAAAGCTTTGGGCCATCATCGACTGCTTTCCCAGGCCACAGGCAGGGAGCTGGATGGGAAGCGGGGCTGCCGGGATTAGAATCGGCGCCCATATGGGATCCCAGGCGTGCAAGGCGAGGACCTTAACCACTGTGCCACCGCGCCAGGCCCTGGATGATTCTTAATGTTTTATTTAGCTATGTTATATTACTCACTTACTGGTTAATTGTGTCATTCAAATCATTATAATGTAATGTTTTCATTTGTTTGTTGCCATTTTGTGTCTATCTGCTCCTGTATTTCAAGATGTATTTGAAGTGAATTATTCCTGAAATACAGTTGAAAAAGGTCTGTTTTACTTTAAATTTTCATCACAATATGGTGAATTTCTTAATCATAGTGCATGTTGTAGTTCAAAACAGCTAAGAGAGAGACTTTTGAATGTATTCAACATACATAATAACAATTTCCAGCAATGAATATGCTAATTACCCAGATCAATTATTATGCAATTAAAACAATATCCTATTGTATTCCATAAATAAATATAGTTGTTTTACCAATCATATAAGTAATGTTGCTATAGATCTCTATTTTTTACCTAGGTACTTAAGGAGAATGCATTTTAATGTCTATTTAATACATTGCATTAGGACAATCCAGCCTTCCTTATAGAGGGTAAACATTTTTATGACTTTCATGAAATTTGGCTAATTTGAAAAGTAGAGCAGTAGACAGACCCCACCTGTTGGCTTACTCCACAAATGTATAGTGACTCCACCAGAATTTTAAATACTTTTGAATGATTATTTTGTAAAACTTTTTTCATAAGGTGCTCAGGTCCTTGACCACTATGGTGAAGTTTACTGTAGTTCCATGAAGGCTAGGAAGGGTCTAAGCAAAGAAAGACTGTGAAGGAAAAACATAGAAAATTTGTGAGACCAGAAAACAAAAATATAGGGGGGAGACTGGTGTGTTATGGATGTGATAAGATATACATTCCCTCAACTGTGACCATGCTGAAAGCTTTCATTAGATGGATACTTCATCCTGGCTTGCCTCTTGTATAGCTCTTAGCACAGACAAATCTGAGTGAGTTGGATGTTCTTTGGTCCAGCCCTGCTATTATAGTCTCACCAACTTTCCCTTAAACCTATGTAAAGTCATCCATGGCAGTTAATCTTTGGCAAATCAAAGGTAGATCTAAGAACGTCTTATTGAGTGGAATCATTTTGTGAATCCAGCAAAAGCCTTTGGCGCTATAACGTGCTCCAGACTTATCTTTAACTGTATATAATAATGATTGAAATAGAAGAGATAAAATGGATAGCAAGTCAATAACTTTGATTTTGGAGAACTGTGTATGAAGGAGAAGGTGAATGACAAGGGAAATGAAGGGCAGAAAAGGAAAAAAGGAGAAGGATTTTCTATATGCCCATTGTGTATATGTGTCTGTTGTGAAAAAATATGTCATTCGGATTGCGCATGAGTAAGAAAAACCTGTACCCACGCACTCGCTGAGAACATCCGTGTGATTGATTTATGAGGTGGGCTTGGGACTGAGAGAGCTGATAGCCAGCAGGAGACAGAGCCTGTGCACAAGACATGCTCCCAGGCTGCTCTTTCCCTGACTACTTCTGACAACTGCCTTCACTTCAACTCGCTGGATGAATTGATTTCATTTTGCTCAGAGGTCATTTGAATCAGCAAAAAGGATGCTAAAGTCGCTGTGTTCATCGCTTTCTTTTATGGCCATCCCCATTCTTGCCCTGTAAGTGCTTGAGAAGCTTCAGTGCAGTGCAAGGAAAGCAGAAGAGTGAAGGCCGTTGTGTGCCTGGCCCCAGAAAGCACAAAAGTTAGGTGTCGTTCTTTGCTGCTTAAACATCAAGTAGTTACCAGTTCAAAAATATTTGTAGTAATATTTGATAACAACTCTAAGATGGGATGCGAAAGGTAAGTATGATGCTACAAAATTTCTAAAAAAAAAATGGATGTTTCCCCATAGATAAATTGTTAAGTTTAAGCAATCATGTGACTTTTCATGGTTTGCTATAGACTAATACCAATATTATCAGGAACACCAAGTCTGTGTACTTTTGTACACTGTTTAACGTGTCTTTAAAAAGTAGGGACTTGCTGGAATTTCACAACAGCAACAATATCTCATGTGTTCTGTGTATTTCTGCTAGGTAAAATTTCCAACATCCTGCTATGACCTGTAGCTAACACAGAACTTATCTGACCCTCCATATCCAAAAGTATTGATTATGTCAATAAAAAAACAATATGAATATTTACTTCACACTTTCAACTTTATTCTCAAATTGATCTAAAAAGATAAGCATATATTTTAAGAAATACGGGATGGAATTATGAAACGATAGCGCATTAATAATAGAAAATCAAATGTCATTAAGAATTGACATTTACATGAAACAGATGAAATGAGAACCAGTATTAGCTTTACATATGCTTTTAAAATGTTTGTAAAGTTTGATGCATGCATATCTATGTTACTTTTCTTTTGTGCTCTAATTTTTTTCTTAGACACTGGGTAGTTTGAAAAAATAATCTCACAATTATTTCTCAGTTCTTAAATAACGGTTTGGGAGCCATGAAAGGGCCATGCTATCAGTTTAACCATCTAACATTTTCCTGTATCTTTTCCTCCGTGCCAGGAGAAGGAAGATGACAAGTCAGACACCTCCGGTTGTCAGCAGCCTAAAAGCCCACAAGGTCTCAGCGATACAGGCTATTCTTCCGATGGGATATCAGGTTCGCTCGGTGAAATTCCAAGTCTTATACCAAGTGATGAAAAAGACTTGCTCAAGGGGCTCAAAAAAGATTCTTTCTCACAAGAAAGCAGCCCCACCAGTCCCTCGGATTTAGCAAAGTTAGAAAGTACGGTCCTATCCATTTTGGAAGCTCAGACAAGCACACTGATTGATGAAAAATTAGAGAAGAAGTCCCAACCTCATGGGGTGTCACCCGAGAAGCTTACAGAGCCACAGAAAATTCATGCTACACCTGAAGCATTAGACATTCCTGTTTCAGCAGAGGAGCTCAAAGAGGGTCAAGAGGAAAAGAAAGACATGTTGAAAAAAGATAGCCTGCCAGGCATTGCTGCCAGTAAGGAGCACAAAGCCAAGACTGAGCTCGTTGGAGACGCAACTGCGAGAAGACAGCCTTATGATTCCATTGATGACAGTAGCGAAAGCGAAAACTCCCCTGTGCCACAAAGAAAACGGAGGGCAAGCATTGGTTCCTCCAGCAGCGACGACTATAAACAAGAGGACAGCCAAGGATCTGGGGAGGAGGAGGAGGACTTCATCCGAAAGCAGATCCTGGAGATGAGCGCTGATGAAGACGCTTCGGGTTCCGATGATGAGGAGTTTATTAGAAAGCAGCTCAAAGAGATCAGCATTACTGAGAGCCCGAGGAAGGAAGAGGCAAAAGGCAAGGGGAAAACAGCACCCGGCAAACACAGACGGATAACTCGAAAAAGCAGCACCAGCTTCGACGATGATGGAGGGAGGCGGCATTCGTGGCATGATGAGGATGACGAAACGTTTGATGAGAGTCCTGAACTGAAATTCCGGGAAACCAAGAGTCAGGAGGGTGATGAACTTGTGGTCTCCGGAGGAGGAGGAGGAGGGCTCCGTCGATTCAAAACTATAGAACTCAACAGCACCGTGCCCTCCCAGAAGAAAACAACTTTGTATTTTGAGGACGAACCAGAGTTGGAGATGGAAAGTCTCACAGACTCACCAGAAGACAGATCGAGAGGAGAAGGATCTTCGAGTCTCCATGCTTCCAGCTTCACTCCTGGCACGTCCCCGACTTCGGTCTCCTCGCTTGATGAGGACAGTGACAGCAGCCCCAGCCACAAAAAAGGAGAGAGCAAACAGCAGCGCAAGGCGCGGCACAGATCGCATGGCCCGCTCCTGCCCACCATTGAGGATTCCTCAGAGGAGGAAGAACTGAGGGAGGAGGAGTTGCTGAAAGAGCAAGAAAAGCAGCGAGAATTAGAGCAGCAACAAAGGAAGGGTTCGGGCAAGAAATCAAAGAAAGACAAAGATGAACTCCGAGCTCAGAGAAGGAGGGAGAGGCCCAAGACGCCACCCAGTAACCTCTCTCCCATCGAAGATGCCTCTCCTACGGAAGAATTACGCCAGGCTGCCGAAATGGAAGAGCTGCACAGGTCTTCTTGCTCGGAATATTCACCTAGCATAGAATCGGATCCAGAAGGTTTTGAAATAAGCCCGGAAAAAATCATTGAAGTACAGAAAGTATATAAATTGCCCACAGCTGTGTCTTTGTACTCCCCCACGGATGAGCAGTCTCTTCTGCAGAAAGAAGGTGATCAGAAAACATTAAAAAGTGCTGAGGAGATGTATGAAGAAATCATGCACAAAACCCATAAATATAAAGCGTTTTCAGCTGCAAACGACCGGGATGAAGTGTTCGAAAAAGAACCTTTATACGGTGGGATGTTGATAGAGGATTATATTTACGAATCCTTAGTGGAGGATACCTATAACGGTTCAGTAGATGGGGGTCTGCTAATGAGGCAAGAGGAAGAAAACGGACTTCTGCAACAGAGGGGAAGGGAGCCAAAAGTTAGACTGCCGGAACAAATTTATGAGGATCCCATGCAGAAAATCGCAGACCTGCAGAAAGAGTTTTATGAGTTAGAAAGCTTACATTCCATCATGCCTCAAGAAGACATTGTGTCAAGCTCTTTCATCATGCCGGAAAGCCACGAGATAGTGGATCTGGGTTCCATGGCCACTTCTACCAGCGAAGAGAAAAAGCTGCTAGATGCTGATGCCGCCTACGAGGAACTCATGAGAAGGCAACAGATGCAGCTGATGGCTGGCTCCAGCCCGAGCCAGATGCCCATTGTGGATGATATGACAGAATCCGGGATGGATTTTGACAGGCTGCCTGATGCATCTTTGACATCCAGTATCATCTCAGGAGCCTCTCTCACAGATTCGACCAGCAGCGCAACACTCTCCATCCCAGATGTGAAAATAACCCAACATTTTTCAGCAGAAGACATTGAGGACGAATATGTCACCAACTATACAAGAGAAATCCAAGAGATAATTGCCCACGAATCATTGATTTTGACCTACTCGGAGCCTTCAGAAAGCGCTACATCAGTCCCACCCTCGGATACACCTTCTCTCACTTCATCTGTTTCTTCGGTTTGCACCACAGATAGCTCCTCACCCATCACTACCCTAGACAGCCTATCCACTGTTTATACAGAGTCTGTGGACGCAATAACTAAACTGGAAGATTCGGGGGAAGTCTCTTCATCGACGTATTTTCCAGGCAGTATTATAGACTACCCAGAAGAAATCAGTATGTCTTTAGATCAGTCCACCGCGTCAGATGGTAGAACTGGTGATGATTGTGTCATGATTGCCGTGTCTGATATGGCACCTGCTATCATAGAATCGGTAGAAGCCATACCCAAGACGCCCCCTGCTGATGCCGTTTCTAAAGATTTACCTATATCTGAGAAAGATTCAGTGAAAGCCAAGAAGGATACTGGCAATGGGATTATTTTGGAAATTCTGGAAGCTTATAAAGATAAGAGGGAGGAGTTTGACGATGAACTAACCAAAATGGGCTCTTCTGAAACAGTATCCGAACACCCACTTTCTTCTTTGGTGGCCCCTACAAAAGAGGAGCTTTCAAGTACCTATTTTACAACTGGAGAAGTCTTTGGTCAGGAGCCACCTGCTTCTCAGTTGGCATTTGGCAGTCCTTCTATCCCCTCACTTCCAACTAAAACTCGTCCATTCTTACGAAGTCCTTCTTTGGACATATCAGCTCAACCTCCACCGCCTCCTCCTCCCCCTTCACCTCCTCCTCCTCCCCCTCCTCCCCCTCCACCTCCTCCTCCACCACCACTTCCTCCACCAACCTCACCTAAACCAACTATTCATCCTAAAAAAAAATCAGCAGTTACAACACCAGTGACTCTAGCTGCTCCGGCAACAGCTCTGGTTGACGCCTTGGGTACCGCAGAGATGACAGCAGATCAGAGAAGTAACGGATTGCCTGTAACCAAAGTATGTGCCACCGCACCTCCTCCTGTTCCTCCCAAGCCTTCTTCAATTCCATCTGGCCTTGTGTTTACACATAGGCCTGAGCCAAGCAAACCTCCACTCGCCCCTAAGCCATCTGTTCCCCAGTTTCCTGTAATGACACAAAAACCAACAGAAATACAGCCCAAACCAACAGGTCTGTCTTTGACTTCAAGCATGACCTTAAATTTAGTGACTTCTGCAGATTATAAAATACCTTCCCCCACCTCCCCGCTTTCCCCACACTCGAACAAGTCTTCACCAAGATTTTCAAAATCCCTTATGGAAACGTATGTGGTTATTACACTGCCATCTGAACCTGGGACTCCAACAGATTCTTCAGCTAGTCAAGCAATTACTAGTTGGCCCTTGGGATCACCCCCCAAAGATCTGGTTTCTGTTGAGCCAGTGTTTTCTGTGGTTCCTCCTGTAACCAGTGCAGAAATTCTCAGTTCTTCTGATCAGACACACGGTAGCTTGGGAGTCCTGGAGACACTTTCTTCTGCCCCTGTTACAGTAGCATCTTCAATTCACGCACCACCACCACCATCAGTTTCTCAGCTGCTCACAGCTGCAGCATCAAAAGCTGAGGTTTCGGCAGTCAGAAGCACAGTCCCTGCTGTGGGTCTTGGCAGTGTTTCTATATCGATTCCTCCAGAACCACTGGATTTAGGTGACCTCCACGTGGAGAAGCTTCAGGATAAGGAAACTGGAACATTACAAGTTGATGGTGATGTTATTGATTTGCGTACAGTACCCAAAGTAGATGCTAAAGTGACAGAGATAGGTATGGATCTTTCTGCTTCCACAATGGATGTGAAAAGGCAAGCTTCAGTCAGTGAAGCCCATGGGAGGCAACTTAGTGCCGTGCAATCCTCTATTATAAATCTCAGTGCAACTTCCTCAGTAGTAACTCTGGCATCCCTGGATGCTGAGAAAGTGACTACTGTCACATGTACACCTGGCGCAAGTTACGCCAGAGGTACAGAAAGCCTCGTTGGTTTAGAACATGCAATGACAACACCACTTGAGCTTACCACATCGAAGCATACCGAGCCTTCTTACAGGATGCCAAGCAGCCAGGCCTTTCCCATGGTTGGAGACGAAGCGCCAATCAACTTATCTCTAGGTACTTCAGCAAATGCAGTGACATCTGCTGCGACAAAACCAGTCACTGTGCCTCCCGTTAGAGTCACAAACGGATGGTCTGATAGCGCCGTAGCCCAGGGAGTCCCCGATGGAGAGGCAGTGGACCTCAGTACAACAAAGTCTCACAGAACTGTTGTAACAATGGATGAATCCACTTCAGGTACGGTGACTAAAATAGTAGAAGATGATGAAAAGCCTGTTGATTTGACAGCTGGGCGAAGAGCAGTGTGCTGTGATGTGGTATATAAGTTACCTTTTGGAAGAAGTTGCACTGCACAACAGCCTGCAACTACTCTTCCCGAGGATCGTTTTGGTTATAGAGATGACCACTATCAATATGACCGATCAGGACCGTACGGCTACAGATGGACGGGAGGCATGAAACCTTCCATGTCGGACACTAACTTAGCAGAAGCCGGCCATTTTTTCTATAAAAGTAAGAATGCTTTTGATTATTCTGGAGGAACTGACGCGGCAGTAGATCTGACTTCAGGGAGAATTCCCACAGGTCAGTATGAATTGGCAACCGACCTTTCTTTGAAATATCGTTATGATGTTCCTCATCTCATTTCAGGATGAAAGTAAGGTACCATTTCCAATTTTGTTCCTTTTGTCTTTATTTGGATGCTATGGCAACATATTTTGGATGACCTTGTGCTTTAATTTTTTTTTCATTTTTTTAAAAAAATGTATTCTGCCCAAAGTCCACCTGCATGCGCCTGCATGTTCGACAGTGCTTTGATTCTGCATCTAATTAGGTTAACGTATGGATTTGCATGCAGTTCCATTCAATATGTCCATCAAGACGAGCGGGTTTTCACACCCCAAAAGCATTCCTTCTGGAAACTGGACTATAACTGTGCCCTGTATTTCAGGTGAGGTAATGGACTATTCAAGCAAGACGACAGGTCCCTATCCAGAAACTCGACAAGTTATTTCAGGAGTTGGGATTAGTACCCCACAATATTCCACAGCAAGAATGACTCCACCTCCGGGACCCCAGTATGGTGTGGGCAGTGTCCTAAGGTCATCTAATGGTGTTGTCTATTCTTCAGTAGCAACTCCAATACCTTCTACATTTGCCATCACCACACAGCCTGGTTCCATTTTTAGCACTACTGTTAGGGATTTGTCTGGTCTTCATACCACGGATACGGTGGCTTCGTTATCTGCCTTGCAGCAGAGCCAGCCAATGCCTAGAACGTATTTCATGGCAACCGGCGTATCTGAATCAGACGTTGCCGTAACAGGCTCTAATATCACTACCGAAACGATAGACTCTCTCCCCACTTTAACCACAGCATCTGAAGTCTTTTCGGAAGTGATGGGAGATGAAAGCAGCCTTTTAATCCTCCCCGAAGAAGATAAACAGCAGCAGCAACTTGACTTGGAGCGAGAGCTCTTGGAACTGGAGAAAATCAAGCAACAACGCTTCGCGGAGGAACTGGAGTGGGAACGCCAGGAGATTCAAAGGTTTCGAGAACAGGAAAAGATCATGGTGCAACAAAAGCTGGAGGAGCTGCAATCCATGAAGCAACACCTTCTCTACCAGCAGGAAGAAGAGCGGCAAGCTCAGTTCATGATGAGGCAGGAGACGTTAGCTCAGCAGCAGTTGCAGCTGGAGCAGATCCAGCAGCTGCAGCAGCAGCTTCACCAGCAGCTCGAGGAGCAAAAAATTCGTCAGATCTACCAGTATAACTACGATCCTACCGCAACTGCTTCTCCACAAACCACCACGGAACAGGCAATCTTGGAGGGTCAGTATGCGGCCCCGGAAGGCAGTCAGTTTTGGACCGCTGAAGATGCCACCACCACAGCGTCAGCTGTTGTAGCAATTGAAATCCCACCAAGCCAGGGATGGTACACAGTTCAGTCGGACGGTGTCACTCAGTACATCGCTCCACCCGGCATTCTGAGCACCGTTTCAGAAATCCCTCTGGCAGATGTTGTCGTGAAAGAGGAGAAACAAGCCAAAAAGAGAAGCTCTGGAGCGAAAGCCCGTGGGCAGTATGATGAATTAGGAGAAGGCCTGACAGATGAGCCCACCAGGTGTTTTAAGAAGATAGTGGACAGTGGTGTACAGACTGATGATGAAGATGGCACAGATCGGAGTTATGTGAGTAGGAGGAGGAAAACTAAAAAAAGTGTTGATACCAGCGTGCAGACTGATGACGAAGATCAGGATGAATGGGATATGCCTTCTAGAGCAAGGAGGAAAGCGCGGGGAGGGAAATACAATGACAGCACAGCAGAGGCTGACAAGACCAAGCCCAGTCCCAAAGTCTCCAGCATAGCAGTTCAAACAGTAGCAGAGATTTCTGTGCAAACCGAACCGGTTGGAACCATAAGAACACCTTCCGTACGAGCACGAGTGGATGCCAAGGTAGAAATAATCACACACATTTCAGCACCTGAAAAGACTTACAAAGGGGGCAGTTTAGGATGTCAAACAGAAGCAGATGCAGACACACAGAGTCCTCCATATCTGAGCGCCACATCTCCACCCAAAGAAAAGACACGCCCAACACCTTTAGAGATCGGTTACTCGTCTCACCTTCGGGCAGACTCCACACTGCAGCTGGCTCCTTCCCCACCCAAATCTCCAAAAGTCCTTTATTCACCCATCTCTCCACTTTCACCAGGCAAAGCCTTAGAATCAGCCTTTGTACCTTATGAAAAGCCCCTCCCTGATGATGTAAGCCCACAGAAAGTACTGCATCCAGATATGGCTAAAGTTCCCCCGGCAAGTCCTAAGACAGCCAAGATGATGCAGCGTTCTCTGTCTGACCCAAAGCCTCTGAGTCCAACAGCAGACGAAAGTTCCAGGGCTTCTTTTCAGTATACCGAGGGCTTCACGGTAAGAGTGATTCTTGACAGTTAGAAGACAATGGATGAATTGATGTTAACCCTGTGTTTGCAGACATGGAGAGGTAATTACACCCCCTGCTGCTTTAGAATTTCCCCAAACTCATCTTCGGTAAGGACCATTGCGTTAGAAATTTGGGGAAGGTGGAAAAACCTACGTTAAGTTGAAGTACAAAAGAACCAAAGCTAAGTAAGTGAAAATGAAGTTTATTATTTTGTGACTTAATAAGGTTGGAAGGGTTTTTCTAATATCAAAATATTTAATTATATACATTGCACACTGATACCAGTAACGCAGCTTTCGTTTTCAAACACGACAGAATAGACATTGAACGTAATCAGATAAGATGAAGAAATATCCTTGATATTTGAGTTCATCAGTAGCAGGGCCATTGGGGGATAATCAGGTTTGTGTCTTCTTTATCCACCCAGATTGTTTTCATAAAAAGCCTAGAACATTTACTGGGGAAAAGAGAGCGTGTGGGGGGCTGGCAGATGAGAAAATAATATTGTCAACACAGCTCACACATCTATGTTTTACTTATTTCTGGCAGCTCTCCGAGCATAAACTCAAGCAAACCTTAATTCTAGTTTAAATTGCAAAAAGGATGTTCCCGTCTCAGTAATAGAAACTATTACAAAGACACGTAGATATGTTTCAAGGGAAAAACATGCACACGTGTGTAAGACACATTATGTCTGTCTCTAGGATATTAAGAAATGTTTATATAAACAGGTGCTTCCTGTAGTGAGGTGTTTAGGAGCTGAATAGAAAACATATGCAGTTTACAACAAAACTTCTGTTCAAATTAAAAGTCCTCTTGATGCAGTTTCTGAACTACATGTTCAAGTCCAGAGGCTTCTGAAAAGGTATTTCTGAATGCTGTGTTCACATTGACCCAGATTCTAAGCATTGGCTATAGCTGAGAAAATTATCATTAAATAGAACCATCAGCCCATTTGTAGGCAAATCAGTGGTAACACCAATAAGTTAAAGTTCATTTGAAGTTTTCTAGTGTCATTTTATGTTCTCTCAAAAACACACCTTAAAAGTAAAATTGCTAAATTGACACGTAGGTCAGGTCTGTAGGGTCGGGGATCAGCCAATGCGTTGAGTTTTCATCAAGTTTACTAGAGCTATTTCATGTATCACTTTGTTTCCGAATTCAGTCTATTCTGGAAAAGTGATTTTTAGTTCAGTTATGTTGATACATTTATTTTTATAGCTTTGGTCTATAAACTTATTTAGTTACATGGACATTTTTTAAAGTATGCTTTGACAGTGTTTTGGATATAGTTTTCAAGACTTCTGCCATTGACAAGAACAGATCAATCATTTCAAAACTATCCCTTAAGTCTTAGTCCAAAGGCTCTCCATCAAGGAAAGATTCGAGTTGTCAGTGTTTTACCTCATAATATTTGCATTTGGGAAATATAAACATTAGGATCCAATGTGTTGTACACACTGTATTAATGGATTTATCATTAACATTGAGTAATCATGAAACAGATTGGTTTGATTACTAATCAGTAATCTGAATTGGAACATTTTATGTAGTTGAGCCTTAGAACACAACTCAGTAGTTCTTCAAAATGGTCAAACTCAGTGCACAATTTCATATGGGATGACTCCATATAAACTGCTATTTAAGTGTATCTTGACATTGTTGGACAATGGCAGAGTCCAACATCCTACTATCAAGATATACTGAACGTTTTCACTGTGAGTCCATCTTTGATTTGGAAGTAGAGATGCATGCTGCCTTGTTCTATTATACATCCTCTTAAGTGAAAGGCCATGAAGTAAAATCACCAACAGAAAGAAAAATAGAAAATTTGCAACAACATGATGTTAAATAGCATGCTATTGAATGACCAACGTATCACTGAGGAAGTGAAAGAGAGAATCAAAATCTTCTTTAAGCAAATGTTGCTACTGTATGATCTATGAGTCAAGTGAAGAAAAGAATAAGAAAACAACTTTTTGAAATAATAAAAACAAAAATGAAAATATCAAACCCCGTGAGATGTAGCGTTGAAACAGCATTGAAAGGGTTATGGATCTTGTATTTTCAGGAAGGTTGCCTTGTATCAGAGAGAACATATGATATTTGTCCTTTTGGGATGGACTTATTTCACTGAGCAGGATGATCTCTAATTGGGACGATTGGTTGCAGATGGTACAACTGCATCTTTGTATTGCTGAGTAATATTCCACGGAGCAGATGTACCTCAGTTTTTTTTATCCACCACTTTTTTGCTGGTCATCTGGGTTGTCTTTTCTGTTGTGGATTCTGCTGCTGCAAATATAGGAATGTAGATTCCTTTCTAATATGTAGATTTCATTGCATTTGGCTATATCTGTTAGCACTCTCCATACTGAATTCCATAGTGGTTGTACTAGCCTCCACTCCCAGCAACGGTGAAGCAGGGTATCTTTGTCCCCACATCCACACCAGCAGGTGTTGTTAATGGAGTTCTGAATGTAGGCCAGTCTCACTGGAGTTAGATGGAACCTCAAAGTGGATTTCATTTGTATTTCCCTGACAGCTAGGGAGCCTGAGCTTTTTTTTTTTCTATATCTATTAGCCACTTGAATTTGTTCTTATGAAAAATGTCTTTTCGTTTCCTTCACCCATTTCTTAGCTAGGTTGTTTTGCTGTCATTGGGTCTCTGAAGCTGTCTGTGGATCAGTGGTGTAGTGTGCAAAGTATTTCTCCCATTGTGTTGGTTGCGTCGTTACTTTGTTCATCATTTCCTTTGCTGTACTGAAGCTTCTTAGTCTGATGTAGTTCCATTTGCTTACTTTGGCTTTGACTGCCTGTGGTTTGGGTGACTTTTCTAAGAAATCTTCTTCCTATTCCTGTATCTTGGAGAGTGCTTCCTGTATTTTTTTTTTTTCTCTAATAGTTTGATGGCATCCGGGTGCATATTTAGGTCCTCGATTCTTTTAGAGCTGATTTTTGTATAAGGTTATGTGTAGTTGACAGCAACCAGCCTGTTTTTCTTCCCATTATGTACTAGCCACTGGGTTCCTCCTACTTTTGTCTTTCCTATGGTGAGTTCTCTAATGAAAACATTTTAGAGTGCTTTTTTAAAGATATACATGAGATGGTGTCACTTACTGTATGGGTTAGACGCTATACTGGAGTCTCATCAGATTCAAAGTGTATTAGAGATATCTTGACAAGGCTCCACATGGTGAAGGAATCTTCTTAGACCATCCCTTCATCTGTCCCTCCTCTCTTGCTCTGCCCTCATTCTGTACCCAGTGCCTCTCTGTTCTTTCAATGTGCCATGATCATCCCAAACCAGGTCCTGGACTGAATCTTTCTCCCCTCAGAACTTTGCAAGGCTCACTTGAGTATACAGTTGAGGATACAGTTTCCTGTCCAGATTTCATTCTCTCAATCTGTCTACCGATTGCCAAAAATATTTATTTCTACCTCTGAATTTGCACATTATTGAATATATTCCATTATGTATTATCAATACAATCTTGCTCTATAAGCTCTATAAGAGGAAAAATTTTGTTTTGCTTTCTGCCTCCATCTAAAGTGCCTGGAACAATGACGGCCACAAAACAGACCTTCAAGATTAATTGAATAATGTATTAAAGGAAGGATTTTAAGCAGTAAAACAACAGGGTATTAAAACATTGGAGAGGCTAATGTTATCCTTAGCAGATCCTAGCCAGAGCTGTTGAGAGGCTAGGTTGATATCTCCTTTGATATCTCCCGAAGATTAGTTCCAAAATCCCCATGGATACCAAATCTCAAAAATGATTATATCTATATCTATAACTATATCTACACACATATATATGACAATATATATGACATAGTATATACGTGACATAGTATTTTCCATATGATATATATGTCATATATAATACCATGTCATATGTTATATATGTGTCATATATGTATGTATATTACATGGTGTTTTCTAATACAACCAATGGACTTCATCCTGTACAATTCAAATTATGTCTAGATTACTCATAATATCCAGTATTAAGTAAAAGCTAAGTTGTTAGATTATATTATTTTGGAGATAATGACTCCAAATCCCCTTTATTAAGTGTTTAAGTGTTCAGTACAGGTACAGTTGTTCAAATAAGTGGAATCAATGGACATAAAGCAATGACTATAGCAACCTCTGAACCACTGAACACACGTTGAATAGTTTCATATTTTCATTTTTAATTTTTCAATTTAGTTTTTGAGGTGTTGACAGAGTTGACAAGAACGCATCCCCATGAGGACCACTGATTCGGGTGCACGTCATCAATGCTGGCATCAGTAACGAAGGAGGCCCAGGCCCAACACATACATTCCAAGATTGAACCACAATCCTATCATTTCTCCCTGTGACCAGAAACCAGTGTTCTGGCTGAGGAGTCCACCAAGTAACCCCACCTGGGGTGACCCCAGACCTGACTTTTGCATGTGGCAGCAAATACAGGGTCCAGTTCAGTCTGTCACCCACAACAGCCTGTGTGCACACTGGTGATTGTAGTTGATTGTTCAGTTCTATCCCAAGCACCATATCCCATGCAAACTGACAGGTGCTGCAACAAAGACCAATCCAGTGTGCCACAGATCTGACCCTTGTGCACACCAATGGGAACTGCAGCTTATTTGGGTGACTCCCAAAACCCCCACTAGGCCCACTTCCAGCCCCTGGTTCCTGTGCATGCCAGTGTGTGCAGCAGTGTAGTCTGATTCATGCCGCACCCCAATTGGGCTCTTGGATACACCTATGGGTGTTGCAGCTTAGCTCATCCCATCCTCACCCCATGACCCAGTCCACACAAATGCTAACAAGTACTGCCACCTTGTTCAGCCTGGCCTGCCCTCAGCCCTGGTTCTCAGGCACACCAGTTGGAGCTGCAACAAAACAAAGGAATATCCACAGTTTCCCTACTTAGGCCTGCTCCCAGTCCCAGATCTTGTACTTTCAAAGGGGTAGTGTGGTCCAGTCTGATAT